CATCGGCTTAATACCGGCCGGTCCAGGTCATGCAGTGATCGCACAGATCTGTCTAGCTTAAGCAGAGTCCACCACAACTCTTTACGAATCAACTGAAATGCGATGTTTTCTCTATTACACTTGGCACCAAAGATTTGCATAAAAATTAAATTCATTAAATAAAAATTATTGAGTAAATTAATTAAGATCCTGATGAATAGTTGGTCAGAATTCAAGTGCTAATGAGTCAGTAGGAGGGAAAATCACAGTTGAAGTCGACTCAGATGATCCATTTTTTGCAGAGAAACCAACAGCAGTATTTTCAATAAGATTCAAGTCGTTGATTAAAGAACTAGTCACAGGTCGAAGAAAGTACTCCAAAAACATTGCTCAGCAACTAGTCACGGATCAACGAGAGAAATTTTAATTGATGTGACACTAAGGAATGAAAGTCAAAAGTGACTACACCCAGCTTAACATGAGATTAGTCAAAGAGAAAAAATAGACCTGAAATTAGCTTTTTTCTTAATTTTATCCAGTCACTGCGTTTCACTGCCCATTATGTTTCTTTCTCAATTTCTCAATAGCAACTGCTTCAAAGGTTATGTTGGTGGTCACAAATCATCGGCTACTGATTGTATGTGAAGTCCAGGTGGCAACGAAAAGATATTTATTATCGAGCCATCTAGTCATCGGTTCCGTTCACTTAGCCCTCTTCTATAAAGCATTCCCAGGAAGGTCTAGCTTCTGACATTCTCGACAACCATCCAACTTACACAACTCTAGCAGAAGTAGCACAAAGCAAGAAAAGGGCCTTGGAGGGTTAGAAATGATAGGAGGAAAAATGTGGTACGTTGTAACTGAAAGGTGTGCCGTCTGCCTCTCGATTCCAATTTATTCATATTTAGATTTCTGTAACATTACAGCCAGTGAACAGGTTTTTCATTCTGACTTTGACTTCAACTGCAGCTGGAAGAAGCTACTGCCGCAAAACTCCACAAACCGCGTACTACATACAGATATCAACAGCAGCTTTCACGGATGCCTTTACAAAAGTAAATTTTTCAATATTTTTCGATTTTAGAGCGGAATCATGAATTTTATGTTATTTTCTGTGATACACTTAAAATGTCAGACTGTGTTTGATTTGCCTCTTTGAGTCAATGCCAATCTAATCTTACAGAAGCTGAGTTTCGGGAATGGCAAGGTTTTGCTACTTAAATGGTCTATTATGATGAGACTGCAGCGATAGCAAAATGCGTCCAAAAACAGCTATTATTGTACGTAATGGGAATTTTCTAACCAGCTATCCTCCGAGCTATATGAAGAGCGTGCGAATTGTCGGTAATTATTTCAAATCACTCTGCATGTGAACATGTTCGGTGTATCACTGTTTTTTTCAGATCGTTCCCCTTACCAACCGTTAAATGGCTGATTTAAAGCATTCTATTTACCGATGGCTTGGTGGCATAAAAATAATTTGAATCGAACTCAGGAGATGCCTGATTCGAATCCGCTCGAGGGAAATCATTGTCTTATTCTGAAATTCTCATGAGCAAGGAACTTAACACCACACATTGCTTCAAACTGTCGCTTCTTATTCGATGGAGCGTCTAACTCAGAGTCAATAGGTCCCAAGTTCAAGCTCTGATCGACGTCACTCGGCCTTATTCCTTCTGAGGTTCTGAAATGAGTACCACCCTATGGAAAGAAAACAGGAACTTGCGCCCTACGTTGCCACGCGACTATTGACTCTGCCTTTAAAATAAGGCACTCGTGGCTGATCGCACAGAAATGGTGGTTAGCGTTACACCACCAAGAAACAGTGGTACAAACGTGGTCTAATCATGAAAGTGAAGGAAAACCGGGTTTCCAACGATGGTGAACTTTCCACTCCATATATTTACTAATTAATGTTAGTAAATACGACGTCATCATAGCTTGAAAGTTAATCTGGTCGATTAGGATATTTGGACTTTCAGCTGAAATGGAGCACAATTATGAAATGCAAACAGGATGGATGGCAAAAATTCTTTATAATTGTAGAAGCTAATTTAGACAGCAGCCAATTTGAATAGCCATACGAACAAAACTACAGAATCGAAACTGTAAGCATTGTTCTGCATTCAGTTCGACGTTAAATATAGTTTAACATCAAATTCTGCAGCCTTTGCAAATCTCATGTGGCTGATGTATTGGCAGAATGCCAGATGTTTCTTTCGTTCAGAAAAAGGAGCTACACTAATGCAGAAGTGTATCCCAACATTATTTGTGCATATTCCGGTTCCTCTAAAATAAAATGAATATTGATCACCGGATATGATTCATATTCCTGATATGATCTATTGATAATTTGCTACCTTGATGATTTTTCTAACTATGAATTTTCCATCGTACGTTCAGAGGGTTTTGCGCATGGTTTAACTCTCTCTGCATGCTTTCGTTGAGGATCAGTTTGATCAATGGACCTCAGTTATCAGAATGTCGTTCTTATCTATCGGCTTAACATTAAGAACATGAGCTTAACCAATGGTTCAACGCTGAGCTAGTTTTATTGCAAGGGTAGTTCATATTGTAAGCTAGTATTTATAACTTTGTAGCAAGCACAGCGCGCAGAAATCTGTTTCCTTTCCCAGAAAGTGGTACTTAGTAAGATACTTCACCCTAGTTACGGTTCCTTGTTCCGGTCGTTGTCTGGCACTTCGACAATGTACTATGGTTTATATGTAAAATACGTTGAAATGGGGAAAGTAAATTAATGATTAAATTGTGTCGATGAAATCTGATCAGCTGCCTGTCAAAAGAAGGAGGCAAAATTTTGGGTGCATTCTAGCTTAGTTGCGAGGTGACGGCATGTGCACGATTTCCCCGGTAATCGTGATGAAGAATGGGTTTTGCTCTTGTCTATGCTTAACATTTCACGGCAGCTGCATTGCGTCAATGAATGACAGCCACAGTTGACTTCGGAATACTTAACACAGAAGATTCCGCTGACGATGGGTTATTTTTAGTGTGTGACATTAACCACTTTTTCTGTCCACATTTTCGGTTTGGACACCCAGTTGTGGCGTCGTTCCATAATTTTAGAATACTCAGAAAGTCTAGTCGATAGCTCTTCGCCATTCCATGACTGCAAAACTCACGTTAGCATCAGCTGATGCTGATCTCCCATATGATCCATGAGACAGAATCATCAAAT